CAGGCCCAAATTAGCACTAATTATTCCATGCAAAATGGAGTTGCTTCAACAGGAAGGAATTAGGACAACAAATTATTCTGGAATAAAGAGTCACTGCTGCCTAAGCAAGTGATCTGTTTGCACAGAGAAGAAAAGGAGCATTCTCAAGGCCAGATTGGAGAGGGCTTGGAGCAACCTGGGCTAGTGAGAGGTGTCCCTGCCCATGGCAGGGGTTTGGAAGGAGATGAGCTTTAAGATCCTCTCATTCTTCCACAGGTCTTTTTGGGAAAAAAGTAGTTCCAGTTTCAAAAATAATTCCAACCTCCGTGCCTGTTTCAGTAGGCACCAGGATTTTCTGCATGACCAACATGCCAAAACCCAACCTACACTCAGGTGTTTTGACTGCTACCACCAAAACTGCAGCTGCAACCACAGCACGGTGGGTCTGACAGCTGTGGCTGATGCTTTCAGGCAGGAGAGCTGTGATTTGGGGCAGGGAGGGAGGGAGGTGCAGGCACACACCCTCCTGCAGCCTAAAGGAGGGTTTCCCTCCAAGGAAACACAACCCTCAAACCTGCAGGACATGTGGCTGTGGAGATGCATTATTTGAATGCCCTGGTATAGAATTGTGGAATCACAGCAAGGTTTGGGTTGGAAGGGACCTGAAAGAACATCCAGTTCCAACCCCCAGCCATGGGCAGGGACACTTCCACTAGCCCAGGATGCTCCAAGCCCCATCCAGCCTGGCCTTGGACACTTCCAGGGATCCAGGAGCAGCCACAGCTTCTCTGGGCACCCTGTGCCAGGGCCTCACCACCCTCACAGGCAAAAATTTCTTTCTAATATCCTGTCTAACCCACCCTCTGTCAGTGAGAAGCCATTCTCCTTCTCCTGTTCCTTTGTTCCTTGTCCCAAGTCCCTCTCCAGCTCTCCTGGAGACCCTCTTCAGGCCCTGGAAGAGGCTCTGAGCTTTCCCTGGAGCCTTCTCTTCTCCAGATGAGCACCCCCAGCTCTCTCAGCCTGGCTCCAGAGCAGAGGGGCTCCAGCCCTGGAGCATCTTTATTGCTTCTTCTGGAGTTCTTTAAGTCCTTATTATGCTGAGGACCCCAGCCTTGGACACAGCACTCTCCACCATCACCTCCTCCCTGCACAAACACACCAATCCCCTTCCCAGAAGAGCAGCCCCCATCTTGCTGTACCACAAAACACCTCACATTGCAGAAAAAAACCCACGTAAGACCACGCAGAGCAGCTGTGGAAAGCAGCACTGCTCTCATGGGGAGCTCCAGTACCATGGTGGGAGCCTGGAGATGGCAAGAAAGGCCTCCTAAAGAGGTTAGACAGACAAAAGAATGAATGAGCAGCCTCTTCACTAGAGATTGGGCAGATGTATGTGACAGTGACAATGTCCATGGATCCCATTACATGATTCCCATGAGCTTTGGCCACACAGAGAAGTTCCAAGTGCTGACAGGTACCACAGCTGACAGCCCAGACACGTGAGCTGCATCAGAGAAAAAGTGTTTCCAGAGTATTTGTGAGTTTAATGAGAAGTGAACACTCGTGATGAGAGCCACTCTACCCACTCACAAAACCTGGAGACATCAGGAAGAACAGGATCACACCAGCCTCTAGCGATATCCAGGACCAGCTGCTCCAGAGGAAGATGCAAGAAATCATTCTGGACAGCTCAGGAATCACTTGCTTATCACTAAATCTCTTCCTAAGCCCTTCAGATCGTGATTAAGCACAATGGTTCATACCCTATATATTAAATATTAATCCTCTCTAATGTGACTGCCGACATTCCGGTTATCCAATTCGGATAACCGCACACCCCGTTCCTTTTCCACCCCAAACCACGTAAACACGATGTACAAAACCCAGCAGTATTCTGTGATCCAGCCAGAGCCTCCCTGGGCTCTGAGCCTAGAAGAAAACCAGCTGGATTCCCACTAAAATCAGGGGGGAAAGAGTTAAGAGCAGGAGATGAATCAGCCACTGCTCTAAATGCGGACATTTCCTACCTCTCCGCTCAAGTGTCTCTTCCTGTCCGCAGGCTTTGGGGATGCTTACAGACCTGGTTGCCTTCAAATGACTTCCACCGTGAGAGGAAAGCCCGGGGATTTGGTTTTTTTCCAGAGGAAAATGCGATTTGTGAATGAGCCCAGAGAGCAGCTGCCAGGGATGAGCGACCTCCTGCCCGTGTCACACCAGGAGGGGAGGACCAGGAAGCAGCTGGTGCCACTCCTGACCCTATGGAAGCACTACAGGTGCGCTGTTCCACACAGAATATCCCACCCCATGCTCCTCAGTGTTTAGAGGCATCACACATGACAGTGACGCTGGCTCAGCCAAGCACAGCAGAAGTCACACAACCTGTGCCCTCCCCACTGGACTGGGATCCACCATCCTGCTGGAAACACAGAGGGTTGGAGCAGAACAGATGTAGGCTGGCAGCAGGAGGAGACAGGGAGAGAGGGAATTCAAACCGCTCCTCCGCGAGGATGTTGATGTTGGAAGTGGACCAGTATCATGGAGTAGCACAGAGATGCAGTTATTTGTGAGGGATGTTTCAGGAAGGCAGGGCTGTGTCTCCTTAGTCTGGGAAGAACACAGCAGCACCAGTGCCCTGGAAATGGGAAATATCTATTCCAGCACCTCCCAGGATCCCCCATTGCTTTCACAGAATCCCAGAGTCATTTAGGTTGGAAAAGGCCTCCAAGATCTCCTCACAAGTCCAACCTGTGACCAATCCCCACCTTGTCAGCAGAGCACTGAGTGCCACGTTCAGTTGTTCCTTGGACACCTCCAGGGATGATGATCCCACCACCTTCAGCCAACTGCAAGCAACCGGCTGCTTTAACCAACTGTTTTAACAGAGATCAGGCAAAAACCCTGGAGCTTCCCACAGGCACTCCCCTCCAAAAGCTCTCCAAGAAGGATGGAAAGAAACATGTGGAATGGGAAGGTGGCAGTGCCCACTTTCTGCCCAGCACGAACACCAAGTCTCTGTCTCCCCAGCGCCCCCAGGTCCTAGGGGAGCTGTGGTCCCTGTTCCCCAAAAAGCATCCTGGCTCTTCACCCTGGCCACAGCAGCAGCCATCAGGGAGCTGGCAGTGCCATGACCATCCCTGTGATCCCACTCCTCCTCCCAGAGCTCCATATCAAGCTTTCTTCCCAATCTCTGGGAACAACAGCATGAGTTTGCATCTGATGCTTGACAGAAACAGACAAATCCTCCCTGCAAACCTGGCTGCAGCCCCCCCGAGCACATCCTTCCCCTCCCTGCCACTGGCCGCTGCAGCAACAGGAATTAAAATAAAGATGAAAAACTCCTGTTGGGGCCGCAGCTTTATTTCCTGTCGTTTCTAGAACTCCTTGTACAGGAGGAAAAAATCCTTAAATATTTCCAAGCATCCTGCATGCTCGCAGCAAGCTCCCCCCAGCCACGGGCAGGCAGAGAAGGGATGACTAATTTTTTTTAGCGTAAGACGCTGCGGAGAGCGTCCTGTGAACAAGCTCAGTAAATTCCTGAGGCTCCCAGCAAGGACTCCACCACTCCTTGCGAAACTTCCCAGCTGGAACCAAAAAGCCAGAAAACAACGTTTTCTCTCCCTCGACAAACAGACATTGGGATTCCTTTAGCGACAGTATTTAGATTTTTAATGTCAGTCCATATTTAGCAGGAGGGAAAAAAAGCCTCCCTTCCTTCCTGTCACATTTTCCACCCTCGATGACATCCAAGATCCGAAACAAGCAAGCGTTGGCCGAGGAGGGAGGATGCAGCCACCCGAGCGTGGGAGAGCTTGGAGAGGGGCAGCAGGGACATTCCCATTTGGGATTCCCGTTTGGGATGAGCAGAGGCAGTGGTGAGGAGGGGACACACCCTTCGAGGAGCGGAAAGAGCTACTGAGGACAGAGCCTTGAAGGAAGGGACAGAGCCTCTGGACCCCACAGCAAGGAGGGTGTCCCTTCCAACTCCAGCCCGGAGCATCTCCTGGAAGGATGGCACAAGGAGCAGCCAGGCCACAAGCCCGCAAGCTGGAATATTGGTCTCAAAAGATGCCTTTGGCCACCAGCACAGCCTGGATCTGCCAAGGGGAGCGTGGTCAGCCCGTGGGTCAGGAGGGCTCCTCACTGACCAGAAGCCCCAGGTACTGAGTGGAGGTGTCCAGGGAGCCCGGCCATCCTGCAGCAGGGCGGTGGTGGGTGGTGCCAGGAGATCGTGGCCATGGTGGCCCTGCCCTGCAGCTGTTTTCTGGGTCTTGGAGGGGTGTCCCCAGCTTGGACTCCCGTGTCCAGCTCTGTGAGTCACTGCAGACCCACAGCTGGATGTTCATAGAATCATGGAATGGTTTGGGTTGGAAGGCACCTTAAAGCCTGTCTTGTTCCATCCTCTGCCATGGGCAGGGACAGCTTCCACTACCCCAGGTTGCTCAGAGCCCCGTCCAACCTGGCATTAAACACTTCCAGGGATAGCCACAGCTTCCCTGGGCAACCTGTGCCAGGGCCTCACCACCCACACAGGGAAGAATTTATTCCTAATATCTAATCTAACCATACTCTCTGTCAGTGTGAGGCCATTCCCCCTTATCCTGTCACCCCAGGCCCTTGTAAAAAGTCTCTCTCCATTTTTCTTGCAGGCTCCTTTCAAGTACTGAGAGATTCCCATTAGGTCTGCCCTGATCATTCTCTTTTCCATGCTGGACAATCCCAATTTCCCCAGCCCTTCCTCGCAGGAGAGGTGCTGCATCCCTCCCATCAACTTGGTGGCCTCCTCTGGACCCGCTCCAAGGGAGCAAATCCAAGAGCCCCAGCCCGCGATCACTTTTAGAAATCCTCATTACCTCTAACAAATACACCTACAAATACGCAAATGCCAAACCCCAAGTTCAGCGTGGACAGGGCGGGGGTGACCCAACTCCACAAACACACGTGGACCCTTCCATCACCCCCACGCCACCACAACAAGCCCGTTCCTATCCCCGGGGGTCACCTGCGACCCCCTCCCCGCTCACCTGCGGCCGCTGCTCCCTCGCCGGCTCCCGCCCAAACGGCTCCGCTGCGAGGCCGCGGCGGCCGCCCGTAACCATGGACGGCGCAGCGGGGGA